TAACACACCCTGGAGGAATAAAACCTTTAAGATACGTGGCAGGAGCCATATGAAGTTTGTGGCTGTGCAAGGCTTATGTGTGCATTGTCCTTCAAGGACTCCCAGGCTATGATCTAGATTCATCCCACATCTCTTCACATGCCTACCAGTGTGTTCGCTGCCCAGCCTGGGCACCCTGAGCCCTCTCTCTATCAAAAGCAACATCGTGACATCCTTCAGAAATGCCCATCTTGGGAGGGGCTGTCTCATGCCATTAGCTTCACCAGGAAGTTAAGAAATATTCCAAGCTTGGACAATTCCCTGTGTGGGGAGTAGGTGACTGATACTCCTAACTTGAGGCTCCAGCCTCTATAGAAGTATTCCCACTTAATTTTGTAGAATCAAATAATCATAGAATCATTAAGGTTGGAAGGGACCTTAAAGATCATCAAGTTCCAACCCCCCTGCCATGAGCAGGGAATCCCACCACTAGACACTAGATTCACAAAACCTCATCCAACCTGGCCTTAAAAACCTCTAGAGATGCGGCATCAACAATCTCCTTGGGCAACCCATTCCAGTTCCTCATCACCCTTATAGTGAAGAATTTCTTCCTAATATCTAAATTAAATCTCCCCTCTCTCAATTTAAAACCATTGCCCTTTGTCCTGTCACTATCTTTCAAGTACTGGAAGGTGCTAAAAGGTCTCCCTGGAGCCTTCTCTTCTCTGGACTGAACAGCCCCAAATCTCTCAGCCTGTCTTCATAGCAGAGCTGCTCCAGGCTGTTGATCATCTTGGTGACCCTTTTCGGGATGCTCTCCAAAAGGTCTATATCCTTCTTGTGCTGGGGGCCCCAGAACTGCACACAGTATTCCAGGTAGGGTCTCACCAGAGCAGAGCAGAGGGGCAGAATTCCCTCTCTGGCCTTGCTGGCCACACTTCTGATGCAGCCCAGGACACAACTGGCTCTCTGGGCTCCAGCACACACTGGTGGCTCATGTTGAGCTTCTCATCTACTACCACCCCAAGTCCTTCTCCTCAGGACTGCTCTCCAACCATTCTTCCCCCAGCCTGTATTTGTGCCTGGGGTTGTGCCCATCTAGGTGCAGGACCCTGCACTTGGCCTTGTTGGACTTCATGAGGTTGGCACTGGCCACCTCTCCAGCCTGTCAAGGTCCCTCTGGATGGCATCCCTTCCCTCTAGGGTGTCAAACACACCACACAGCTTGGTATCATCAGCAAATTTGCTGAGGATACACTCAATCCCACTGTCCATGTCTCCAACAAAGATGTTCAGCAGCACTGGTCCCAATACTGACCCCTGAGGGACACCACTCATCACCTGCCTCCATTTGGACATTGAGCCGTTGACCACAACTCTCTGGGTGTGGCCATCCAGACAATTACTTATCCACCAAGTGTTCCATCTGTCAAATCCCTGCCTTGTCAGTTTGGAGACCAGGATGTCATGTGGGACAGTGTCAAATGCTTTGCACAAACCCTGGTAGATGACATCAGTTGCTCTGCCACCATCTCTGTAGGCTTGTTGTAGAAGGTCACCAGATTGGTCAGGCATGACTTACCCTTAGTGAAACCATGGTGGCTGTCACCAATCACTTCTTTATTTTCCTCTTTATTTTTAATTTTATAGTAACATAGAGTTCTACTGTTGAATGTAATGGTGTACACCACAAAATGGCACCATGCTGTTTCTGCTAGATCCTCACACCTGAAACAAACTCAGATTTCTTTGACAAGGACCTGAAAAGTAAAAAGAAGGGTTTTTTTATGTCCAACTACTCTTTGTAATTTGAAATACCCATCTAAGATATTGCAGAGGGCTTTTATCCCTCAGTAGAGACATAGTGAGTGGCTATCAAAAGTCTCACTTCTTTTGAAGCATCGGTGCCAAATCCAAGATAAAAATATTGAAGTTTAAAAATTGAGTATGTGAAAATATTGAATATTAACATTCTTTAAATTATTTTAAATTGGCTTTAAATCAGGGTAAATATTTTCCTTTTGAAAGGCACTTATAAAATGTTACTGCATTACTAGTTTCACAACAACAGAGAAGTGCTTTTCCTCTCAATTTGTCTTGCCTCCAGTCTTGAATCCCAAAATGACAGATGTCTGGAGAGGTTCCAGTCAAAGGCACTGGAGCTCCTTTGGGTGAAAAAGCATGTTCTTGCTCTGTATGCAAAGTAACCATCAAGCCCCAGAAATCACACATGCCTGGATCCCTAGGTTTCAGGCAATGCAGTATGGAGCTACTCGAGCTGATGTTGGAGAAAAGTGGAGAAGAACTTTGCAGATGATCTCTAGGATGGCTCATCTCTGGTAAAATTGACTGATTTTACTGGCATTTTCAATTAACAGATGCATTGAATTTCACTCTGTACATTTGAGCTGTCAGTGTCTACTCCTATAACGACAGGATGAGAATTTTTATTTTTTCCTTTTTAAAGTGTGGCTGATTAAAGTTAAAATGGGATCAAGGATATGCTTTTTTTACTGATGGAGATTTCGGAGAGTAATGATGAGGGGCTTTCATTTATGAAAGCCAGTGTGATGCCTCACACATCTGCCTGGGATGCAAATTTTGAGAAATGTCCTTGACTAAGGTCATTAGAACTGGCATGATTGGATATGTGACATTTTTAATGTAGACTCAGAAGCAAACTGCATTATTATTGAAAGCAAAAGATGAATTTATTGAGATGATGTCCTGGTTTCAGCTGGGATGGATAGTCTGAATAATTTCTCTGAAGCAGAAATTCCACAGACAGCTGCTGTCTCTTTCTTAATGAGTTTCAGAGTCTGTATAAAGAGGAAACCCAAGTCTTTGTGGAAGCCTCTGAAGAGATTCCTTTCTATCCTGCCTCATAGCCTGTCTCCTGAGAAGCACAACCATCAGCACTGACAACAATAAACACAAACAAAGGTCTAGATTAGATGCTGGAAATGATCTATGGCTTTGTTTGCTGGCACGCACCTGAGGCTCAAACCTCTTCTGCAAAATGGTGGAAACTCATCTATCTCATTAACAAATATTACATGCTTCCAGTGATTTGAAACAGAAGCAGGCTTTATCTGTAATCTTATGAGGAGGATTTTAAATTTTCCTTGATTTGGGGTTGCTTAAACCTGATACTTTGGCTTAGCACCTTAGGAAGTCTGAGATCCATTGTAAATGAGGTCCCAGGTTTATTTTTCAGGCACCCCCTGGTCTGTGACAGGATGTTGATGTGTCATGATTTCTAAAGGAAAGATGAGTTGAAGAAGCACACAGGGACACTGCAATGACAATGACATTTATGGGATGGAGAGCCAGCAGAAGCCCTTGTTGGCTACGATCTATAAGCCTGTATCAGGTTCCAGGGCACACAGCTGGAAAGGCTGCCTTCCTTGTCTCCCAATGGCAGAATAAAATTGCTACTTAATGGCATTTTTGTGGTGGCAAGTAATGGGGTACTTCTGTTTTGTAAGTTTTCTGCAAATGTCCTGGGTCTATGCTATTAATACTTGAACCTGAATCTCTTCTTAACCAGCCTCACCAACCATCCACGTTAGGTGTCAGCGCCCAGAAAGTAAGTGGCTGTAACTTTAAAAAAAACATGGAAGAGCAACTATTTAATGCCCAGAAGATTCTAGGAAGTCCCAGGAATGAGTCAGAAAACCAATCTCTTCCACCAAAGGGCCTTATAAGGGTGTGTGGGCGGGTATAAAACCTGGAAAAAGGTTATTGAGAAAATGACATTAGAGGAACAGAGGCAACAACGCATTTTGGAAAAATTATGTGGAAAAATAATGTATTTCTGCCGCTTGCTGGTGGCTGCTCAGAAATGTGTTTGAGATACCATCAGCTCCTTGGCTCACAGGCTCGAGGGAAGTGTTTGCACAGCTGACATGTGGGTGGCAACATGTGGATCTCTGATGGCATAAAACCAATATTTTGCATTTATATGATTCACAAATATACTGCCTGCCCACATGAGTCTCAGACCAGGTACATGTTTTGCAAGATGGGGGAAGGGAGGGGAGATCCCAGCTCATCATACACACTTTAGGCTACCCATGGTAATAAAAGATGCAGAATTTAAATGCAGCACCCAGCATTTGCTCACTCTCTATTTCTAATCTCTGCTGTGAAGGCAGTGCAGGGGTTGGGCTCTCAGTCGTGGTCTGTTTCTGATGAGTATATGATAAAACACAAACAGCACCAGCACAAAATTACCCATTAGCACCAAAGAAGGTGTCTGAGGCCAGGCTGGGACAGAGGTGAGCCCGGAGGTCTTCTCCTCTCCAAGGACGGTGGCTGTTGACAGAACTAACAAACAGAATAAAGCAGAAACAACAACCCACAGTCCTTCCTGGCAAAATGAAGATTTCAATAACCTGTGTTGCAAACAGCAATAATAAGCAGTGTCTTCTGTTTCAAACTGTTAGGAGCAAACGTGCCAGGGGTAGAAATAAGTCTTCAGAGCGATCGCTTAGATTAAAGAGGCTTGCGCCAAGCCAGGGTGAGGGAGATGTACTTTCCTCCCAAGCCGAGCGAGCAGAAAGGCAAACAGTGGTTTGACTGTTTCCAGGCAAATCAGGCCATTTTAATCACCTTCCTCCTCCCTTTCAGAGCGCCTGTGCATGTCAGGGTGCGCACGGCTGCGTTTGACCCCAGCCAGAGGGAGAGCAGGCACCCACTGCCTGCCCAGGGACCGCAGCCCGGCATCGAGCATGGGGGGGGAAAAGGGAAAAAAAAGAGAGGGAGGCCCCAAACCCCCCAGTCTGACATGCTCAGCAAGTTGCTGTTTGGCATGTTAGTGACGCCACCAGCCCTAGGAAAGCAGCTTTCTCCCCCAGTGGGTTTATTGAGAAGATTATTAAAACCTTTTCATTTAAAAATATTTGGCAGAGACTTCTGCATAAGTCGCGAGGACATTTCTGCCCACATCCGCTTCCAACAGAGAAAGGAGAGTTTAAGGGGGGAAAAACCCAAGCAAAACCCCACTCACTTTCCTCATGGCTGCCAAAAAGGGTCTCGAAAGAGCTTGTCTTGTGGGTGAGAGGGACACCAAGAAGTACTCCTTGACCCTAGCCAGGTAATACAACTCTCTTTCCTTCTACTACCATTGCTTTGTCTTTGAGAGCAATACGAGATCACTGATCTGTCGGGAGGCTGCTGGAGTCCAAGTACAGTGTGTACTGGGAACATCTTTCACTACTTTCAGAATGTTTTGTTTGATTTTTTTTCCCTTTCCAAACTTCCTTATTAAATGTTTGATGCATTTACTAGACAGCAGGCTGAGATGTCTGCATCCTTGATGGATTGAACCAATCTACTGTTAAAGCAAGTGTTTCCTGCTATGTATTTTATAATCCTAGTAGATTTATTGTAGGATGCAAAACCTCATGGATTATGCTGCAATAAATTTGCCTTGTGAGTGAAAGGGATACCAACAAATACTCCTTGGCCCTAGACAGGTAACACAACTCTGTTTCCTTCACTGCCATTGCTATGCCTTTGAGAGCAATATGAGATCACTGATCTGCCGACAGGCTGCAGGAGTCAAAGCGTGGGGAGTTTCACGCTGCATTCAGGGAACGTCTTTCGTTACTTTCAAAAAGTTTTGTTTGATTATTTTTTTTTTTCCCTTTCCAAACTTTCTTTTAAAGTGTTTTTTACTAGATGTATTTACTAGGCAGCAGCCTGGTATGTCTGCATCTGTGATGGATTGAACCAATCTACTGTTGAAGCAAGTGTCTCCTGCTATGTATTTTATAAGCTTAAGCAGATTTATTGTAGGATACAAAACCTCATGGATTATACTGCAATTTTAGACTGAATTATAATAGTGCTATTGACACAATGTTTGATTCAAGGCTCCTTCATGCTTGAATGTCTAAATAATCTATTTGGTGTGAAAAGAATACAATGCTGTTAAAGACTTGATCCTGCAAAACTTTATTCATATGAATAGTCTACCAGACTTGAAGCTGATGTACCTCTTGTGTGCTGGAAGTCCTGTGAGTAAATGCTTGCCTGGGTGAGAAAAGCTGTAGCTTGGGTTAAAAAATGAGTATAAATGTCTATCACAAAACAGTTTTTCAGCTGAACTTATTTTCATTCTTCCTCTTGACTCAGACCTGCAAGTATTTTTAAAAGAAAATAGATGCTCAGTTACAGCTTAGCACCTCTTGACATTTCCATTATCTCATTGGTTTTCAGGTTATTTATTGCTTGGCTCTCTTAAAACATGTGGGACAGAAACTTGGCATAAACACTGTCAGTTGAAATGGAAATCTATCTCTCCATGTTCTTATACTGGGTCACTGCCACCATATTTTAGTCATTTGAGTGTCTGTGTTATTAAATATTATTACATGGCTCCATAAATATACATGACACTGTCCAAAATTACTTTTGTGGTAATATTTATATTTTAGAATTATCCCATATGATTCTGCAATTCATTTTACTTACTGAAGAACTCAGAGTTTTTTGGTTTTGCAGTTTTGCAGGCACAGTTTCAGTGATTGAGGTCCTTTGGCCCCTTGCTGCCTCTGGACATAAGGATGTCTCTGGACAAACCTTTTACACCACACAGGAAGAGGTGCCCCGAGACAGGGACAGTTGTTAGGCTATCTTGTGAGGGAGCCCTTTTTCTCCCAGAATCACCAGGAACAGAGAATATCCCCAGGGAGAAGAGAGGTAGGATGCACATTGGGAGCAAGAATCACCTCAACCTCCCATCTAAGTGCTGACTCACCTTGTGGAGGAGACAAGTTCTTTCTAATTATTTTTTCTTAATTTAGGATTTAAGTTGGTTGGGGTTAATCACTGCAACAATTGCAATTGGTGGGGTGATCACTGCAAATATGCCCAGCAGGCCAGTCCCAGGAGGGCTCCACAGCAAAGGTCCTGAGATTGCTGATTTATGGCAGGGGTAATACAGCTCAGCAGGAGAAGGAAGGCTTCTCTTCCAGGCATGTGGCACTTGTGCTGCCCTTCCTCTCAGCTGTTCTAACCAGGGCAGCTTTTACTAACTACACAATGTAATGACTCTGTCCCTACAACAACCAGAAATGGGGCTGGGAGCTGGAGCCTCTCCCCTGTTCAGCAGAGCTGCCAGCTGAGGGGAAGCCCTGGCTCTGCTCCCCTGGCAGCCCAGCACCCCAGGGTGCCACCCTGGGGGCCAAAGGCAGCCCCCCAGGAGCTGGCCTGGGGGCTGGACGACACAGCCAGCTGGGCCTGGGCTTGCACAGACCAGCTGCCTCCACAGCTTCAGGTGTCTTAAGCCGATCAGTAGCAATAAGCTCATCTTAGCCTTTGGTATAAATTACCACATTTTTCCATTCCCTGTGTGTAGGCTTAATGAACAACTCTAATGCTTTCAACGGAATTTATTTTGCACACAGATTGCTTATTTCTTTGCCATGCCCCAGACACTTTCTTTTTAATAAATGCCATTATTACAATACACAGGGAACAAAACTAGTTTTATCTTAACCCTGTGAGTAGTAATTTTGAACACAGGCCCCATTCCCTGCACACAGGCTGGAGGGGGAGAGTGTTTTGTACTTGCTAAACCTGCCTGTAGTCACTAGTGGGTTTGGATGCATTGTCTCCTGTGCCAAACTTGAAATGCTTACAAGAGTATGGGATTTAACTGAGCTCTCTGAAAATGAGGTCAGCTGTAGACTTACAGGATAATTCAGGTTGGAAGTGACCTCAGGAGGTCTCTGGTTTAACCTTCTACTCAAAGCAGAGTCAACCAAGAGATTAAACAAAAGTTGCTCATGGCTTTATCTGGTCTAACCTTGAAAAAATTCTCACAGGATGGAGACTGCATGACCTGTCTGGGAAATCTCTTCCAATACTGAATGCTCAAGCCCTCAACCACCATGGTGGTCCTCTGCTAAACCTGTGACAATTTATTGATCTCATAGAATCACAGACTGGTTTGGGTTGGAAGGAACCTTAAAGATCATATAATTCCAACCTCTCTGCCATGGGCAGGGACATCTCCCACTAGATCAGGTTGCTCCAAGCCCCATTCAACCTGCCCTTGAACACTTCCAGGGATGGAGCCTCCCAGCTTCTCTGGACAACCTGCACCTGTGTCTCACCACCCTAACACTAAAGAATTTCTGCCTAATTAATCTAAAGATTCCCTCTGAAGCTGTGGGAGGACCTGGACAGGCTGGATCGATAGGCTGAGGTCAGTGGCATGAAATTCAACAAGACCAAGTGCAGGGTCCTGCACTTTGGCCATAATAACCCCAGGCAGCGCTACAGGCTGGGGGAAGAGTGGCTGGAGAGCAGCCCAGCAGAGACACCCGTGGGTACTGGTTGACAACCAGTTGAACCAGACCCAGCAGTGTGCCCAGGTGGCCCAGAAGAACAATGGCATCCTGGCTTGTATCAGGAATAGTGTGGCCACAGGAGTAGGGATGTAAATCTCCCCCTGTACTCAGCACTGGTGAGGCCTCACCTTGAGTGCTGTGCCCAGTTCTGGGACCCGCACTTCAAGAAGGATCTTGAGGTGCTGAGCAGGTCCAGAGGAGAGCAGCGAGGCTGGTGAAGGGACTAGAGGGAAAGTCGTATAGGGATAGGCTGAGGGAGCTGGGGTTGTTCAGCCTGGAGAAGAGGAGACTCAGGGGGTTCATTATCACTCTCTTCAACCACCTGAAGGGAGGTTGTTGTCAAGTGGGGTCTGGGCTCTTCTCCCACGCAACTAGTGACAAGAAGATAGCGCATGACGTGAAGCTGCACCAGGGGAGGTTTAAGTTGGATATTAGAAAGCATTTCCTCATGGAGAGGGTGAATAGACATTGGAATGGGCTTCCCTGGGAAGTGGTGGAGGCACTGTCCTTGGATGTGTTAGAGGAAGGGTTGGATGTGGCACTTAGTGCCATGGTCTAGCCAGTGTGGTTGTGTTAAGTCATAGGCTGGACTTGATGATCTAAAAGGTCTTCTCCAGCCTTGGTGATTCTGTGATTCTATTGGCCCCTTCCTCCAGTCTGCCTATGGCAGCCTTGCTCACTCTCCAATGTATGAGCTGTACCTCCAAGCTGGCATCATCTGCCAACTTGATCAGGGTGCACACCAACTCCTCCTCCAAAAAAGGACAAAGTTATTACATAGGACTGGTCCCAGGATAGGACGCCACTTCTCATCAGACTCCAGGAAGCATATGAACCATAATGGTAACAGTGTCTGAAGCTGCATGCTCAGAACCTCCTACCTTATGCAAAAATGTTGTCTGTAAGGCATATGAAGTGAGATTCATGTCATCTGTCTTTAACTTGGATGTGAAGTAAGTATCTAAGATAGTTTTCTATGACTTTTTACAGTCAATGGTTATGGTGGAAGAGGATAAATTCTTCAGATGATTAATCAATTGTTATGTTTCTTTTGATTTGTTATCACCTATCTAGTGATCTAGACAACCATATAGCAAAGACTAGAAATGTCTTGACCAAATTCTTCAAGTTTCCATGAATGAATACAGGCCAGATGATTTTATGTCTTTCTGACCATAGATTCACAGAAGTATTGACAGTAACATTGACCAGAAATACTCAGTATCTCACTTAAAAATCAGTGGATTTGCATTAGATTGTACCAGCTGTGCTGAGAACTAGATTTTGGCTTGATTCAGCATGGATATGGAATCATAGGATCGTAGAATAATTAAGGTTGGAAAAGATTTCTAAGATCATCCAGTCCAACTGTCAACTGGGTTTCTGATCATGTTCTTTCTATGTCAATACAGTGAAGTTTTGAATGCCATCACACAAGTGTAACTCAGGTCTTACAGTCTCAAGATTTTTTGCTTTATTTTGTTTCTGAGAAGACAAGAGACAAGAAAAAAAGGGGAAAAAAAAAGAGGCAATGATAAAAGCAGGAAATGTGTAAAAACCTTAGGGCATGTTTTAATGTAAAAGTTTTTAACAGAGGTCATTAACCTGACCTATAGGTATTCCTGTCTGTCAATGAAGCCTTAGGCTTGTAATTGATTCTTGTCTGGTAGGCTCATGCCAGAAGGCAAAAAGCTTGAAGTGGACCTAGGAGATTATTTCTTCAGGTGGAGGTTGATTTTCTATGACAAGAAAGCAGGGAGATGAAAACTCTTACGAGATCAATGAGTCCATATCAAATAAAGGCTTTTCACAACTCTGTGCTTTGCAGAAGCCAATGCCCAGGAAAACTTTCAGTTTTTATGGTGACTTTGGAAGGATTTTTACCCATTTGTTATATCTCCTGAGGGGACCCAGCAGAACCCATCCCATTGCTTTTGCCTTTATCTTAGGTGTCCTGAGGACCCTGCAGAAAGGACTGTGTCTGCTCCGTACTGGCAATACACCATCTCCATTATGCCCACTTCAGTTATTCTCATTTCATTTTGGAAACAAAATTAAAACTGAGATTCTAAGAGCCATAAAACAGAAACTAAATAACTAGGACACCAGCTCAGGATATTGATCATTCAGGGGTATAGCAATGTTACATAAAATCATGAATGATGTGATGAAGGTAAACAGGGAATCATAATTAATTATTCCTAACAGTACAAGAACTAATTAAAATATCAGGCAGATGACTTATAAGTAACAAAGGATGCATTATTTCCACATGAATAATAATTAAACTGTGGAACTCGCCACTTTCAAGTCAGGCAGGTTCCTGGAAGAAAGATCTGTAAAGTGTTATTAGATACAAGCTCTGCTTTAGTCACCTCCCAGCCTCCAGATTGGTGCAACTGTGGAGCAGCAGCCCTCTGGACTTGTTCCCTTGTGCTTTGCCCTTATGTATCCCCTTATGCTCATAACAGAGTTTGGGTACTTGGCTGTTTGGATACTCAGATACTTTATACCGTGGGTATAACTCAGAGTAGATATTGCTGTACTGTTCTGCAGAAGGAAATTTATTCACAATACATCTATGCATACGTGATCAGGCTCTCAAAATGAGACTAAAGAAAACAACCAAAGGACAAATTCCCATCTAGTAGATATCTAAATGTACACAAATATATAAATATTTGCCTTTGTTTTGTGCCCACGATAAGGAAAAGAAGAATCTGTACAGCCAGACTATAAACAGATCTCAGATGAAATCAGAGCAGTGCCAGTATAAGAGAAGTGACTGTAGCTTTGATAAATTTTTCTCTGAAGGCAGTTTCATTATCCTTTCAGGCAGCAAAAATTACTATTTTCCCTTGAGAAGGAGATGATGTCCTGTGGGAAGTGCAATGATTCCACATGTTGCTCTTCTGACTGGGGTTCTCATAATGGTCTAGGAGGATAGCAATTATTCCCATCAGCCTGCAGATCAAGGCACCCAGCAGATCTAGGGAAAACAAACAAAAGGAAGTTGTAATCAAAAGCTCTTGCTAATGATTTGTATAGAATCTGCAATATGTATTAATATTTTCTCCTTCCTCCCTTCTGGGCATGAATCAGTAGGAGCCTTTCTATGACGTTAACTCAACTATCATTTTTACAAAGAGAATTTGAAATGGAGATTATTTTTTAATCTGGGACTCTGCTTGCCATGTACTGGTGTGGAAATCTGATGCTCAAAGGCTACATCTTGCTCTAACAGACTCAGAAGGGGTTTATGGTTTGACAGAGCTGATCTCTGCACTTTAAGCTTTTGATTCACACATTTATAAAACTGTCTCTTAGATTCTTTTAATTAGTAGCAGGTTGCTCTTGGAGGAAAAAAATAATGGTTACGCACAGGAGCTGGCAGGAGTTTTCCTAACTCATTGGGCCAGATGCAGCTCTGCAAGTTCAAAGGGAGCAGAGAATGCTCACCACCTCTGACAACTGGGCTTCTTTTATTTAGATACCCTTTAGACAGAAAGATGTGACATTTGTGGGTTTACGCTGTCTCTGTTTGCTTTTGCATCTGTTCAACAAGATCTGTGGATGGTGCTTTCCAGCTCCTCAGTGGTACTCTGAGTTTTTGTTAGCTGATGGAGTGACTCAAAGATGAAAAAAACAGGAGGGTCACAAAGCGACCTATTTTGTTAACAGCAAGGAAAGGATTTGGTGGCTCAGAAATCTGCAGGGGTAATTTTGGCATCCCTTTCCTGACAGGTTGCTGACTTATGTTGTTAAGATGATTTTAATGTTCAATGCCAGCTGATGAAAACTGAGTTAAAGGGAAATTAATTTTACATGCAAACTATAGAAAAGCGTTGGAAGTTAACTCCAGAGAGGGATCATGAGAAAGAAAAACTCGTATGCCCTGATCTCCAGGGGACAGTGAGAGAGCTACAGTATTTTATTCATCCATCTGGAAGGAATCAATTTGTAGTATCTTCTGAGGCAAATACATCAGGAAAATATTGTACAAAAGTGACACAGTGCACATGAGAAGTCTGATGAATGTCAAACTAAAGGACTGGAGAAAGACTGCCTATTGGGGACCCCAGCTGCCAGATGGGCAGCTCATTCTGCAAGCAGCCCAGCTCCCATTTATTTGTTGTTGAGGGGCAAATAAAGGAAAACTCTGAGAAAAGGATTAAGAAAACTCTCTGTCCTCAGGCATCAGGCACCAAATCTGACCAGCTGCTCTTTCACGCAAGCTCCCCATGTAACAGAGGGACCTGGTCACCTCTCCTGAGCAAACAGAGACCACTTGCTAACCTGACTGGGAAACAAGCTGACTCAGGGACACCTGTTGCTTCCTTGGAACATCTCAATAATATTTACAAAACCAAATCCACACTGATTATCTACGGTTGCAGGGCTGGGCTGCCAAGGGGGGTCAGGTCTTCTCCTTTCATCACCTTCAGCACCTCTGTGGTGCTGATGAACACAAGGGGCTGAGGCACCCACAGCTCTGCAGCTGCCTTTGCCTCTGGCCCATTGGTGGGGTGCGGGCTGTGGGGCACCAGGCAGGACTTTGAACCTCCTGAGCTGCCACAGCCCCCTCTGGCCGCCCAAAAAGGCAGCTGGAAAAAGTTCATGACTTCAGTGCAGTTTTTTTCTTGACATCCGCTGCTACAGATTGGCAGCCAAAGGCATGGTTTCTTTTCAGTAGGATGTTAGGCATCTTCACACTTCCATAAACAGTGCAGAAATGCTACAGAAAGTCACCAAGATCCATGTACCTCCCAAAGCACAGGTCTGCCAGCAACCAAAGAAACAACCTTTTCTGGTGTCAAAGGGAATTCTTTAGTCAGAATGGGGAAAAGAGGCTGTTATTTCTGGGGGCAGCTAAGCCCAGCTTCATGTCATACCCTCAGGCTCATTTCAGACTCAAAGAGCCGTGGAGTTTGCTGCATTCACAGACAGGTGTGCTGACTATAGCCTTGCACACACAGACCTCAAATAGTTGCAGCACATGGTTATAGGGACATTGTGCATGTGCATCTGGGCAGAATTCACCTTTTGATGCCACAGGGCTCTCCCAAGAGACTCAGTACATGACAGGGGATATTTTACCAGTGGGGGTATCACATTAGGAGCAGCTGTGGCAACCAATGTTATATCTGAATAGACATAACACAATAGTTTTCAGTAGAACTTCCTGGGATGTGGTTTAGGGGATTTTTTTGACCAATTTGCCTCTTCTCAGTTGAGAGATAAGAAAGCGGGAATGTCCTTGCTTAGCAAACCACCCTGGGGCGTCCTAGAATAAAGTGAGGTAGTCACTGAGCTGCTCTAGTGAAAGCACTAGATGTCGTGGTCATTCAGGAGTTCCTGCTGTCACAGTGCAATGTGCTCAGCCCTAGAACTCTCTAACCCCATCCCATATTCCCTGTGAAGAAAAAGGGAAGCACTGAGCTTTTGTAGCAGATCAGATTTGGCTGTGAAATCATCTTGTGATGTCATCTGAGTGATGCTCAACCAACAACTTCTGCTGAACTTCTCTACCTTCTATGAATTTAGTGGAACAAAGAGGTCAGTGTATTATGGAGAACTGGTTTCTTGGATTTTTTAAGTGTCTTTGAAAGTTTTAGGCTAAGATTTTTCACGCTAGAGCCCTGCTAGAAGATTGATACTTTTTGTACAGATACGAAAATTTGAGATTAAAAAAGTTGACATGCAAAGAGAGAAGAGAAATTATTTTTAGTCTATTATATTTGAGAAAAAGATTATTATTTTTTAATTGTCTTCCTGACAAAGTTGTTGGCAATAAAAAACTGACATTTTCTGTAAAATTGTCTCCATGCTATGCTGAATTTGGTTACTATTTGCATGAAGTACAGCTTTTTTAATATCATATGATGTGCATTAAATACACAGCCTAAGAAAGTCACCCTGTGCTTCATAAACTGCTCAATGATGTAGAAGAGTCCAAAGAGCTGGGAAACATGAGGAGAGCAGTCACTTCATGTGCAGCTCCCTCCCACAGAGCCCTGCTTGTGCTAGCAAACCTCTTCTGTGACCTGCTCCACTGTTCCCAATGCGGCTTTAATCCTTCAAAAGCATTAATTATATAGTTTCTGAGGCTGCAGGGCTGGATGCCCAAATAATCAGGGTTTTTCTTTTTTAACATTCTGTTTCTTTCAATCCCAAAGGATGAGCTGGCATCAGAAGAATTTAAATGAAGAGAGGCAGCAGCAGGAGGAAGAAGATACTGAAGCTAATCCAGTGTATCATCACTGTCACAGCTACTCACAGACCTATGAGAACAGAAAAAGGGAGCAGCATCAAGCCAGGAGAAAGCTCTGTATAGCATCAGTAATTTGCATTTTCTTCATGATTGCTGAGATTACAGGGAAGTATATTTGCTCAGAGAGAGCTCAGTTTGGTGCCCAGCACAGCTGTATTCATGCCCTTTTGCACCTACTCTGACTGCAGGGACCCATGATGCACAGAGGTGAACCCACCTGGGACAAAATAACTTTCCTTTCTCCTTAATCTTTAAAAGAATTGTGGGGTTTTAAGGTAAAACTACTAAAATATTTTCATGTATTTGTTTAAGGATTGCATCTGGGTAGGAATATAAGGATAACATGGTCTACACCCTTCTCCTAGGTCTTTAAATTTGGCTAAAAGTGGCTAGCATGTCTTAGCAATGTGTCATAAAAGGTTTCTAATAAATTGGGTTACTTTTTTGTGGGATTTTTTTTGTTTTTGTTTGGTTTTTTTAAGATTAAAAAATTGAACATGTTTATTCAGGCCAATGAGACCTCAGCACTGAAGAAGACTGCTATCAGCTGGATCTGATATTAAATGAAACTGTCTTTACAGTATCGAGGAAAACCCAGGGCCAGATTCACCATCTGCTTTTCTTCAGTTAACTCAATGTATTTATACTAGGGCACATTTATCTTTTAAATTGGCCTGCTGGTGTGTCTCTGGATCAGTGGAAGATTATTTTCCTGTCTAATTAGCTTTTGCTTCTGGACCCATCCTACAATGCCAAAGATAAGTATTTTACTCACTCCTAGAGCATTAGCTTTCATTTTGTCCCACTGATCTGCTCTCTGCGTGGCTCTTGTGATATTTGTACACACCTAATAGTTATTGGATCTTTAATTTGCCCTTCTCTGCAGTAAGGTGAGGTAAGGCATGAGGGTCCCACAGACTTTTGCCACATGTGCCACAGGGGATGTAGCAAAAATCAGCAAGGAAGGACCCTGAAACCCATGTTTTCCCAGATTCAGCATCTCTGGAGGCCAAGGAAATTAAAGAGAAAGGCTTTGTCTTCCCCATAGGTAAGAAGTGGAGGCACTGAAAGAGCCACCTCATTTCCGCCTTCTTCCCTGGCTGCCAAACCCAGTAGGGAATTCTCTGACTCGCCCCTCCCAGACGCTTCATCCCTGTGAAGCCCCATTGTCTGTAGGTCACGTGCATTTCCCCCATGAAAAGCAGTGCACTCCACTGATCTCCATGCAGTAATTTCCAGTGCCAGAAGTAATGCATTATTAACAAAACCGTATAATCAGTAGGCTTATGTCTGGTGAAAGTGGCAATGCTAGAGGATAATTGGAAGGACAGATGATATGTTAACTAAATGTTTCATTTTGCTTAATGAATCATACAGCTTTTTTGCTGTGACAGCTTAAGTAACAGGCTTGAAGACCATTTTGCTTCAGACCATTAAACTCTGAGAAACCAGTTATTAACTGCAGTTACCGACAGCAGTCAGTGGAGATTTTTGTAATTATGAACTATACATTTAATTTTTTTTATCATTAGGCTAGGCAGCCTGTGCCTGATGATTGACCATTGAGTGACTGACAGTTTCTACTGCTTTGTGGTATACAAAACTATAAACATCCATTGTGGGTAGTAGGAAGTCCTAAAGGCCACTTATTGGGAGTGTTGATACATAGCAATAAAAGCCCTTAACAGGCTTTTATCTTGAAAGTAAAGAACATGTTCTCCTTCTTCTCCTCTTAGAGAGCAAACAGTTTCTGTGGTCTTTATTATCCTAGACAGAAGAAACTAAGCTGCATCCCTCTCAAAGAAGTTGAAAAGTTGTGCTTCCTTGAATCCCGAGATCTCTCCTGTGATATTTTTGCTCAAATCATCTGTGCTGGACCTTACTGCCCTCATAAAATGGGCATGGTTGTCTGAGACTGATAAACTAGCTATCTCCAAAAGACAATTATCTTCTGTTCTTCTAATGCAGATCCGTTACAAACTCCATAGATTTGGAGATATCAGTCAAACCAATGATACTCTGTGTACAGCCCTGATACAAGAGTGCTTTCCAAGGATTTTTAGAAGCTAAGGACCAAATGTGGATTTCAAAGCACTTTATTTCCATTTGAGCACTAGAAAGAGACACAAACCCAGCATGTATCATCATGTCAAAAAAGAATATAAAGACTTGACCAGGTTTCTTAGATAAGGAGACTGAGAACTCAGAAACTCATGCAGCCATTAGCTAGCAACACATAAAACAATTATTTGCCAATTTTTTGCAAAGACTACAAAATAGAAGCAAGCTTTTGTATTGCTGTGGCACAGAACATGGAAATACAGTATCTAAAATGCAATAGGGTTTTGCAGGCACTTTGTGCTCTACATATTTGTTTGCTGAAAGGTAGCTGATGCTTTGGCTGTTAACATCTGTGCAGTGCTAGACAAGCCTGCTTCCCTCTGCTGTGCAAAATTGCCTCCCTCTTGGGAAACAGCTACCCTGCAAACAGGGAAAGCCTAGGAGCTGTGTCACGACCAAAAAGTATATGTGCAATTTACACCTGCTGGTGTTCCGGCAAATCCCAGTTCTGTTGAATTTTTCATTTTACTGCAAGGAGTGAGATGCCCCCAAATTCTGCAGCCGTGCTTGCTCCCTTCTGGGAAATAACTTTCAGGCAGCTGTAAACAGGATGAATAGGGAGATAACAGAGGGTGGAAAAAAAGCCTTCTACGTGTAATATACATTCTCTGGGGGTGACAAACCTTACACTATTAGATACTCTAATCTAAAATTTGCATATAGGTGGAAAGCAGTCAGTCAGTCCATCCTGCTGGCATGAAGACTTTCCATCTCTAAGGAGATGAGATATATCTGCATGTCCCTCTGGCAGTGGTGTCTAAGGTTTGAAAGAGGCATTTTACAATGTTTTTCAGGATTCACTGATTCTCATATGAGTTGTGGTCAGAAGAAAAGGTGAGCTGAAATTAACTGAATGACTGAAGAAGGATGGAAATATATTGCTAGAAGCAGAAGCTAGATGTTTTGGCTCCATTATTTCACATTTCCATTTTTCTATATTTTCACTGCTGCAAAGATTCCCCTGCTGTAACAAGTTGGCAGGACAGCTTTCTGCCTGGGATCCTTCTCTTCTCTTGCAATCACTGGAAGATGGGGTAGTTTAGAGCAATCTTTTAGTTTCTTTAGATTTGCCTTTAACTTCTAACATGGTTAGAAGAATTTGGCAAAGTAATATTTAGCTTGCTGAGTAAAGGAAATGTGGTTTCTGATAGCCTAAAATGACTTCTTTTTTTTTTTCTTTTTCAGAATTCATATGAAACCAAAACCCCCCAGCATAAAATGCCATCCAGCCACATTTTTCCAGCTCCAGCATCTAAACTAAATCATGCATGATAGATTAGTCCTGTAAACAGAACATTTTTCACTATGCCCTCACAAATACGGTCAGTTGTTTATCACAGCTCTGCTATTGGGACCTTTCTTTTTACTCCTGTTTTAGTGTTGCCAATAAATAGTTGGGCATCCTGCCATCCTAATTCAGGAATAATATGCCTATTTTCCTACAACAAATAGGAAACAAATCCCATAAGCTACATCTTTGAGTTTTTGTACGTATCTAAAAATATCAGTGATCTGTGAAGAGATAGTGGGAGGATACTGGAAATATGATCCCCACTACTGCTTTTCACCAAGAAATCTGATACGAAAATAGTCACAGTAAAACAGTCCAACAGTAATAAAACCACAGCACTATTGTGCCACAACTCTTCCTGTCCTTAGGACTTTCTCTAGGGAAGATTGTCATAAGTCTTTCTATTACTGACTTTCACTGCATGAATGGGACACAAAACAGTTTTGCAGAGTTTTGTGTCATGTCTAAGATGCCTGAAAGCTGAACATCCCCTTTGATTCACAGCGAAGAAGGTCTCAAGTTCGATCTGGTTGACTCAAACTTGTGACCAGAGCCATGATACAGCTGCATGTTTCACACAGGTGGGCAGATCGCTGGGAGCCTGGCGGTGATCACCGACGCTGCACACATCCTAGTGGACCTGGCAAGCTTCCTCATCAGCCTCTTCTCACTGTGGCTTGCCTCCAAACCTCCCACCAAGCAGTTCACTTTTGGGTGGCACCGAGCAGGTAGCTAAATTGTCACAATATGAAGAAATGTGGAGAGGGAAATCCTTAGAAAAGGGCAGTGGGAAATGTGCTGGTGTCCAGCATAGGTCTGCAGACATTTAGAGACAGAGCACTAATGTTCTCAAAGCCCACAGGACACATGACAAACAGAGCAAACCAGTGATCATCAAAGAAGTAAAAAGCACAGTCATTTCTGGTCTAAAAATGTGTCTTTCAGTTAATTACTTTATACAGTTTGGGGCAGGTGCCAGCTTTGGCAGAGATACCAGCTATTTCTTTCAGTTACTTGGGTGTGAGGAAGATGAGTTCTCAATTTACTATGAAACAGCAGTTTCTATGAAAGCAACAATACCCATAAAAATGACAGGGTTCCTCCACCCATAGGATGATAACATATATATATTACGTATATGATGCTATATCAATTCTAACATGTTATCTTTGTAGAAAAGTGAGCTTTTTTAACATTTACCACTTTCTAAATCCTCTCCCTGTGTATCTCTTTATCACTGCTGGTTTTTATCAGAAGGAAGCACTGGTAGGTTTTGAAGGTTCTCTGTCCTCAGCCAAAATCAGGATATTTACAGATGACACCTAATACCAAAAGCCTTACAATCAAACATACATCCTTTTAAAAAAGATAAGACACAAAATACTAACTATCAGAAACAATTTCTGGCTGTATGATTCTGTTCAAGATTTAGACACCTAAATACCAATGTCTACATGTAAGAGAGCACATATAAGAATAAGGTGCAAGCTTCCGATATGTTTAGCAGAAATTTAGACTCCATTCAGCTGCCTAAACATAGAGGTCTGGTGCTAGGGTGTCTTGGACTTATGCATGGGAATGGCAGCTGTGGCACAAGACCCACAGGAAGCTGCACAGGATGCCAAACACAAGACCAGGGCATCTCAAATACCACCAGACACTCATAATTAAGAAACTAGGATGCATTTCCAGTCAGTCAATGGAGCAGGGAGCTGTGTGAATCACCATTAATTTGATGTCCATTGTCCACAATACACTTAGCTCACACCTACATGTAGACATTCTCATTTACTTAGCCTGGAAATGAATCCCATTATGAGTGTCTCAGGGCTCAGTGTAGTTGCTCATATGTGATTAGGGTTATTCAAAATGGCCAATGTGTTCCACAAAGACTTCAACCTCCACCCTAGAAGGCCATGGATGACTTCCAAACCTCTTGTGTCAAGACACACATGTAGGTGTCAGTGGATCTCAAATGGCTATGCACACCTATGCACCTGGAAGTAGTGAAGGGCTCAGATGATAAATACTTCAAGGATGTTCAGTATGAAGGTCCCAAAGCAGCTTCTGACTCAGGCTGTCTGCAGGCTAAGGGTGCCTGTGGCTGCAGAATGCACCAGAGAAGACACATGCCATACTTGTCCTGTCTTTATATTGCTCCTTACGTATATTCTGCTGACACTGCTGGAAACAGGCTGTTGGATGAGAGGGAGGTATAGTATGACTGAAGTACGGCTGGCATTGTTGCCAACACTCAGCTGAATTTTGCAGCCTTAGTAAACTACTGCTTCCCCTCGCTTGATCCATAATTACTTTTTGGGTTTATGCTCTCTTAGCCTGGGAGGAAATGAAAGTGAAACTTCTCTCTTGCTGATGAGGAGATGTAGACAAAGCATTGTATGAAAGTCACCCTCAGTCTGTGTTAGATTTTTTAGGGTTTTTTGTCATGTCTATGCAGAACTTCAGAACCCATACTTTATGGTCTTTTTATACTGGTAGCAAAGAGAGCCCTGCATCAAATGCCAATGGCTATTAAACTGCATTCCATTATATTTATCCTGTTTCTTGCTTATTTTCCCAGATATATGATGATACATATGATTTGTAGGTGGGTGCCCTAATAGAGTAGCTGAGGGCAGTCAGGTGGGTGGCAGAGTTGCTCTGTGCAAACCACTAAGGTCTTGCAGCTGCAGCCTTCAGTTACACTGGAAGCTGATTTTTCACTGTTTTTCTCAGACTGACAGATAGGGTGTGTCATGCAAAGGCTGTATATGACAGGGCTCAGGTTTAGCAGGAGCCATTTGAATGCCTTCTGTTTTCTAAGCTTGAATCAGGCAGCAGAATCATTCAGGGCAGCAGTTCAACACAACCCTTTGGGTGTGCAGCTGCTTTCAGCAACATGGCGAGAAGCACAATATTGAATGAGATTGATAGTATGAGCCAGACCTACTTCCATGTCGGAAAGCTCTCTTCAATTTATCTCTGGTATGATCCAGAGTCTTCCAAGGAGTCTCAAAATGCTGTTTGCTGCATTCTCATTAGTGCCAGTAGCTGTGAAGATATTTGACTGAGAATATATTGAGTACAGCATTTAGTGCTACTGAACTGGTCTGCAAGCTTAGCCAAGCTTTTGCTAATACACTGCACTGAAAAGTGATGCATATTTTCACCTATGTAGGTAAAGATGACCCCTAACACATTCAGTTGTGGAGTATATGCACACACACATAGACTTTCATTCAGGTGTTCACAAAAGCTGTTGGCTCCTTTCATGCCAATGACAGCAGAGCCATCAGCACCTTCAGCTGGGCCAAGTTTGCAGGGTTTCAACTTTAACTTGCAGAAAATATAAACACCAGGTATGCTTTATATTTTCTTCTCTCCGTTCAGCTTTAAGTAAAACCAGATAATCTTGTCAGTGCATTTTCATTCATTGTCAGTTCTAGACAAATGGTTACTTAATAAGTATCTGAAGCTTGGACTGCTGTAAAAGGTGTGACACTGATCAAAATATATTCCAACTCATAAGATGAGTTTCAGCTGCTTTCATGAACTGACAGTGGAGGTCTGTGCAAGCACTTTGCTCTTTCTGGCTATCTACTGCCTTTCACTTTACTGTGAAATTTTATTTTCCTTGGTATGTTCATAAAAAGCCACATTTACCCATTCAAGTCACGTGGCAATTACTAGTCCCAGGTCCTATTAAGAACATGTTGCACGTTCATACAAACATCCCTCAACCTTGCCTATGGCAGTGCAGCAAATGATGGCCTTGGGGATTTTATTTATTTGAGCTCAACTCAGAGCAAATAGAGACAAAATTATATTTTGCTGCTCCAGGGAAAAAATAGCTTCTTTTGTTCTCATCACTGCTAGTGGCACAAAAAATATTTTGTGGCATTGGAAGGATGAGCACCAGGAGAGAGAAAGGAGAGGTTTTGCTCTCAGGACCTTGTCAAGGGCTGTCACTGCCTTTCTGGAGTGTGAAGTGGCAAGAGGTGTACAGAAGCAAGGGAGGCTGTTAGAGGCGAATTACAGCTGCCAGTGGGTTTGGAAGAGCTGTGCCTCTCTCCTTCCCTCCAACCTCTGTTACTGTGATCAAAGTAATCTTGTTGGGGAAGGATGGCTGGTTCCTGGGCTTCTCATACCCTACTGGAAGTGCCAGGCAACGATGTAAGATTTGAAAGAATTGCTCTTTTATCCTTCCTTACCTTTATAGCTTATTTTGCTGCTCCCAGAACTCCTCAAACAATCTGTTTCATCTCTCCAACTTCTTCAAATGCCTCACTAACTCAACACTGCAAAGGGGACAGAAGTAAGATCAGGGTTAGGCAACCACATGGGTAGGGCAGCCCTGGGCAGCCACTGGATTTGCTATGACCAGAAAGGATTTTGGCCCATTGTTTGAGAGCACCAAGGCTGCCAACACACAAGAAGTAACTCTTTTGGCTAAGAAGCTTTCTGTTATGACACCTGTTCACATCAGATTGTTTTATTTCGTAGAAATTGTGGCTGCGTTGATGTCTATGATGATAATTTGGATGGTGACTGGTGTGTTGATATATCTGGCTAGCATGAGGCTGCTACACCCTGATTATGATATCAATGCTACAGTGATGCTCATTTCCTCTGCTTGTGCTGTGCTTGCCAATATCCTGTAAGTTACTTTTTACTCTCTCCAAATAAATTTTGAAACTTGAATCTGCTGCTATAGTTTGATAAAAAGTGATAGAGAGGTACTGGTCTCAAAAATATCGTTTATGAGTTTCATGAGAATACGGAAAGGGGTAGAGAAGAAAGATGCAGTGTGTCATTGATGGCTGCAATTGCTCTCATTGATGGCTGCAATTGCTCTCTTTCTTCTGTTAGCTGCCACACTGGGAAGGGAAGTTATGAATGCACAAACTCCAGGAGAACATTAATCTCCATCTCACTTTTTATTAGATGTCAGAACACAATCACAGAATCCTAGGGGTTGGAAGGGACCTCGAAAGATCATCTAGTCCAACCCCCCTGCCAGAGCAGGGTCACCCAGAGCACATCACACAGGAGCATGTCCCGGTGGGTTTTGAATGTCTCCAGTGAAGGAGACTCCACAACCTCCCTGGGCAGCCTGTTCCAGTGCTCTGTCACTCTCATAGTAAGGAAGTTTTTTCTGATATTTACATGGAACCTCCTGTGTTCCAGTTTGCACCCATTGTCCCTTGTCCGATTGATAGACATCACTGGAAAAAGCCCATCTCTGGCCTCCAGACACTTGCCTTTAACATATTTATAAACATTGATGAGGTCGCCCCTCCGCCTCCTCCAAGCTCAAGAGACCCAGCTCCCTCAGCCTTTCCTCAGGGAACATCAGGGAGATGTTCCACTCCCTTCATCATCTTTGGGGCTCTGCACTGGACTCTTTCAAGCAGTTCCCTGTCCTTCTGGAACTGAGGGGCCCAGAACTGGACACAATATTCCAGATGGGGCCTCACCAAGGCAGAATAGAGGGGGAGGAGAACCTCTCTTGACTGACTAACCACACCCTTTCTAATGCACCCCAGGATGCCATTGGCCTTCTTGGCCACAAGGGCACATTGCTGGCTCATGGTCATCCTCCTGTCCACCAGGACCCCCAGGTCCCTTTCTCCTATACTGCTCTCCAGCAGGTCATCCCCCAACCTGTACTGGTACATGGGGTTGTTCTTCCACAACATGCAAGACTCCACACTTGTCCTTGTTGAATTCCACCAAGTTTCTCCCTGCCCAACTCTCCAGCCTGTCCAGGCCTCACTGAATGGCAGCACAGCCTTCTGGTGTGTCAGCCACTCCTCCCAGTTTAGTGTCATCAGCAAACTTGCTGAGGGCACACTCTGTTCTCTCATCCAGGTCGTCGATGAAAATATTGAACAGCACCAGTCCCAGTACCAACCCCTGAGGGACTCCACTAGTCACAGACCTCCAACTAGATTCTGTCCCACTGACCACAACTCTCCAACTTCTTCTTTTCAACCAGTTCATGACCCAACATTCAAGAACTCTATAGAAAATGAGGCCTTATTAATTCCTCTGTTCACAGACATTCTTGTTTGTGTGTAAAACACTGAAACACTAGGAATTGCCTGCTTAACCACTCTGTATTTTTACTTAATATGTTTGATTTTACTGATCAGCATTCAGAGTGAGAGGGACGATAACATGTGTGGCATCACTGCTTTCAGAGATGCAATAACCCTACTCATATCTGCAGCTTTACCTCTCTTGCAGACTAAGCCTGATCCTGCACCAGACCAGCCACGGGCACAGCCACGGGGCTCAGGCCAGGGAACACGTGTCAGCCACTCTGGAGACGCCGGCTCCCAGCAACGCCAGTGTGCGGGCAGCCTTCGTGCACGCCATTGGAGACCTACTCCAGAGTATTAGTGTGCTAATAAGCTCACTTATCATCTTCTTTAAGGTTAGTTTTATTAGTTCACTTGCCTTCCTTACAATTAAGGATAACAGTTACTTTCATAGCATTGTGACACCAGGTACTATGCAAATAATTGCTATGTGTTAATGACATACATTGTAATTTAGTCAAAGAGAGTTATTCTTGGGAACTGAAATGACTGTTAAGAATGTAGTGCTTGCTTCTTTGGGTTTCATCTGCAAGGAGGATATTTCTGTATCTTTCCTTTTCCTCTTCCATACACCTTCATGCCCTGTGCTGAGGCTCCCTAGCTGGCAAAGGAGGTGAGCATTGATTCTGTACTAGATGAATGGAATATAATATTCTTTGAGATTAGCAAATTACAAATGGCAATAATCAACAATAAGGAAATTAACAAAGTGATATGTTCATATTTTTCTAGCCAGAATACAAAATAGCTGACCCAATCTGCACATTTGTGTTTTCCATCTTTGTTTTGGCAACCACCATCACCATCTTAAGGGATATTTTGACTGTATTAATGGAAGGTAGGACCTCATTCCAGAATCAATACTGTTATATTTTGGGTTTTTTTCTCCCTTTCTCCATAACTCTTGTATTTGCTGACAAAAGTATAATAGCACACTTCTGCATAAGTTTCCAATATTCTAAAAACTCTTATCATACTTTAATCTTAATTAAATTTTAAGCACAGCAGTTTTCTGTCATAATATATTCTTAAAATTAAATTGCTTTTGTTTGTTGTATGCGTAGCATTGCTTCTCATCACCCCTTTGGCATATAAGATGTCTACTCACTCTGTTCATTGTGTAATTCCTTCACCCATGTGAAATACAAGACTTTGCAAAACCAAAAAAAAACAAACAAAAAACCAGAAAAAAAAATGTCTGTTCTTTGAACCGTGGCTGTGAAATAGGCTGAGTGCAAGAAGCAGGAGTTTTTAAGAGTTTTAGTTACACCAGTACCAAAGAGCAAACTGATGGAGCTTTCCAGTCATGTTCAGGTGCAAGGGAATAGACAATTCTCAATACATCAGCAGCAACAAGAACAGGTTTGGCAGTATTTAATCCTGTCAGCAATGGGCCAGAACATTTGATTTGCAAGGCCAAATTACTTTAGCAGTCATAGATGCATGTTTTTGCCCTTCTTACACTGAATAATATAATGCAAACTCTTTCTCAATAAGGATTAAAAGGAAAAGTAGCTCTAAGACTGTAAATTTTGAATGGAAATTAGTTACTCAGTGTGACAGTCTGCACAGCTCTTTACTTCTCTCTTTCACTTTGCACATACTTCAGTTTCAAGAAGAAAAATTCTTACATTGTTTTACAGTAAAGCTTAATTCTAGGGTTGGTTGGCTTTCAGTGGTTGTGAGACAGGTATGTTTGTGTAGAAGTGTACCCAGATAGAGTGCAGCTACTTGCTCTATCTTGGCTGCCAAAAATCAAAGACCTCTTGATTAATGGGGAAAAAAATCAAACTACCAGGAAGGTTTGGCAGCCCCTCACACTTAGAGGTCTCTTTCTCTGAGCAGTAATTCCCAGCTTGGGCTGGCAGTGCTTTGTTTGCTTATGTAGCAAGCCCTTTATTGTCCTTCTTGGTGGGTCTCTGAAGGTACTGTCCTACCTCCTAATAGCCTCCTAAGAATTTTCTGAAGAGCAATTTGATGCTGAAGTTGGTATTGGAAGTGGTTCTTACCCCATGCATAGAACATCCAACCTGTCCTGGGGTGTCAACGCAGCAGCAGAGAAGTCCACACCTGTGACCAACTGTGTCGTACGGTCACTGATCATCCATGGTTTTCTCTAAAGAGCATGTGCGTGTCCACATCATGTTATGCCAAGTTAGTACTCCATGTTGTTCTTGTAATAAACAGATAGGACAAAGCATACAATACCGAGGTCGTTAGTTATTACAAATAATTATCAGTTACAGTATGAAAGACACAGTTAATCAATATTGTTATTGTATTAATGGTTTGGGTTGGAAGAGACCTTAAAGATAACACCCTGCCACGGGCAGGGACACCTCCCACTAGGCCAGGTTGGTCCAAGCCCCATCCAACCTGTCGTTGAACACTTCCAGGGAAAGGGAATCCACAGCTCCTCTGGGCAACCTGTTCCACTGTCTTATCACCCACTAAAGAATTTTTTCCTAATATCTAACCTAAATCTACCCTCTTTCAGTCTGAAATTGTTCTGCCTCATTTCACTACTATTCCTGATGGTCTCCTCTAGGTCCCCTTTAAGTGTCAGAAGGCTGCTGCAACGTCTATCCTGACCCTTCTCTTCTCTAGTCTTAGCAACCCCATCATGACCTTTTGTTAGAAGGCTCATCTAAGTAAACAAGTACTGATCCACTCCTTAACTAGACCTGGGATCTCAACTCGTCTAAGGTTCCTGAGTCAAACCATAGAATCATAGAATGGTTAGGGTTGCAAACAATTCTTATCTTTATGTTTGTCTTTCCCTCTCTGCTAAACTAATGCTTCTCTATTGTGTAAGTGTATCAAGGACAGAACATTTCAGAGGTGCTCAAATGATGCCATAAATTCTACTCTCACAAAAGCTGCTGGTGCAAAACTGTTACATGATCAGGCTAAACTTCTCACTTCCCTGTGAAAACCAGACACTCACAGTATTCCCTAAGGCATATACGAGTCTCATTCATCCATGCAGAAGTATAAAACAAGATACAGGATTCTATTTCACAGTAAACTCCGAAACAGACAGGCTTTCCAAATAATGAAATATAAAAATTACACATCTAACTGAATAAATCTTCATGATGCATTTTCCATTACTGATAATAATTTTTCTCTCCAAAATATGTTTTTACCCTAACTTCTCTTTCTAAGGAACAGCAAAAGGACTTGCTTATGACACAGTGAAAGCAAGGATTTTATCAGTTGAGAAAGTGGAGTCTGTTCACAACCTCCAGCTTTGGTCTCTGACAATGAATCAAACTATTCTATCTGCTCATGTTGCCACAGGTCAGTAAATTTTTGTAAACATGGAGTAAGTATTCAGTTGCTGCCTAGTAAAGGTCAGTTTCTCCTGACTGGGATACAACTGACTGTGTATCTGTTGCTTGTTAAAACAAATGTCTTTAATTTATTGGAAAAATACAAACAACAAAAAAGCTTTCAAATCCTCCTTCCAGAAATGTTGCCAAAACAACAGGGATCTCTACTTAGCCCAAAACTTCAACACTGCAGAAGTAACACTTAATCTTCAAAAATTTTTATTTATTTTTATTTATTTATTTTTTTTAAATATAGTCATATAGCATCATGGAATGGCTTGGGTTGGAAGGGTCCCTAAAGTTCATCTGGTTCCAACCCCCATGCCATGTGCAGGGACACCTCCTGCTAGACCAGATTGTTCAAAGCCCTTATCCCTGTTGACAAATTGTCCACTACTCAGATCAAATTTCTTGTTTATCAGTTTTCTTTGTGCATGTTAAGGTTTATTTAAGAAAAAAATGCCACTGTTTGGCCAAGAACAGGTTCAGAGGCGAAGTCCTTTATAGAGTCCTCACTTCCCAAAAAGAGTGAGTCTGTCAGCCACCCAAATCACTTGGCATTGTTGCAACTCTCTGACTGGATGAACTAAGCTTTATTAAGTATTTCTGCTTTCCTACGATCTTCTGCCAAATTGAATTTCTTTGGTAATTAAACTTAGCTAGGCTCTTGCCAAAACTGCATATTCTAACCACATTTTATTGAAAAAACTTTTGCTGACATACAAGTTCCTGAAAGGAGGATAGAAAGGACAAGAAACATTCTCAGACTTCTTTTTAGAAGTTTCCAGGTTGTTTGTGAGTAGTTTCTGTCAGTAAAAACTTACTTTTCTTTAAATATTACATGTATGGAATTAGATTATTTTCTGCTTGCTATCTATAGCAGACACAGCAGACAGCCAGAAGATTTTGAAAGATATTACCCATGTCTTGTTTGAGTACTACTGCTTCCACTCCATCACTATTCAGATTGAATCAACAGAGGATCAGAAACAAGACTGCATCTTCTGCCAAGAGCCCAGGGATTAAAGGCAACAGTACACTACAAAAATAATGATCACCCCTCTTACAGGTCAATGGAGACTATATGTGCTAGTTGCATGTAATTGATTAACAACAAATGGTAATTAACTGAGCTTAAAAAATCCTGTCACAGAGCAGTGCATGTACCTTTGCTTGTTGGTAACATCTATCAAGAGAGAACATCTATTAGGCCCATCCATCAGCCAAATTATCTGTCCATCCTCTGTTACTTCAAATTACAAGAGAAAGTACCTAAATTATTCTTGATTAGAGTGGCAGACTGGCACTGAAGCAACATTTAAGAGTGCCTGTTTGCAATTACAGGTAACAAAAATCAAATCAACCTTCAAATTACCAGCAGACCAATTATCTCAAAATGTAAGGTAATTTAAGTTTGGTGTTAGCAAAGCTCAACACTTGCTCAGGATAAAGAAGAAAATTTAAATTAGCAGGAGGGATGAGGAGACCTCCAAAAGGAAGTGATAATGAGTGCTTTCCCTGCCTTATGGCACACTCTCCTTGTCCTGCATATTAGGAGACATCATAGAATCCTCCAGGATCATCTAGTCCAACCTTTCTAGGTACTACTATGGTTTATATGAGATGGCTCAGCACCCTGGTGTCAGATGTGCACCATATTCTGCAGCATGGATCACAAGAGGACTCACTCCATTCACATTTGACAAATAGTGCTTAGGTTTTTTAGCTAGCCCCATCTATTTTTCAGATAGCTTTCAGCACAATTCCAGTGAACAGTCTGGAGAGGGTCCAGAGAAGGGCCACAAGGATGATCAGAGGACTGGAGGATCTGCCATATCAGGAGAAGCTGAGACAATTGGGTTTGTTCAGCCTTGAGAACAGAAGGCTTAGGAGAGACCTCATTACCATGTTCCACTACTTAAAGGGTGGCTACCAGGAAGATGGTGACTCCCTGTTTACAAGGAGTCACATGGAAAAGACAAGGGGTAATGGGCACAAGTTGCTCCTGGGGAGATTCTGATTGGGCACCAGAGGTAAATTTTTCACCATGAGGACAGTCAAACATTGGAATAGCATCCCAAAGGAAGGTGGTAGATTCCCCCACGTTGGGCAGTTTTAAGACTCAGCTTCACAGGGTGCTGAGCCATCTCATATAAACTATAGTAGTACCTAGAAAGATTGGACCAGATGATCCTTGAGATCCCTTCCAACCTGGCATTTTATGATTCTATGAAGTCTTCCCTGCCAGAAAATACTGTGCAGTGTTCTCTACTATCAAGACAATCCATAATATTGTTGCACTGCATCATGACAAGTTGTGATGGAACATTTGTGGTGGATTTTTGGGTGTCTGTGTCACAAGGTATTGCTGGGTCGTGACAATAAAGTAGGCTCTTAGAAAAGGAAAAAATAATTAAGACAAGGAAAAGCTGGGGGCCATGTGAACATCACATCTAGCATCCTACATTGTATGGCCTGTGGGGTGTTACTCAGCAAGGTTACATCCCTGAAGTTATAGCAGATAATAAAAGAACCCTGTGACATATCACACAGCCATTCACTGTCCAGGAAGAGACATGTATCTCCTTCAGGCAGCTAATTCCCAGATTTCCTAACAGGACGTGTTAAATCTTCCTGTGGCTGTAGTGACCAAGAAATGGTTGAATTTACTATTTTGGGTGGAAGAAGAGAAATGAGCAAGACTACAACCCTGGACTTCAGGAATGCAACATTTAACCTCTTCAAAGATCTACTCGCTGGAATACCATGGGCTCTGGAAGGTATGGATGTCCATGAAAGCTGGGCAACTTTCAAACAGCACTTGCTCCAAGCTCAAAACCAGTGCATCCCTATGAGGAAGAAATCAAGCAGAAGAGGTAGGACACCTGCATGGATGAATAGGGGTCTTCTGGAAAAAAAATTAAAGGAAAGAAGGAAATTTACAGAATGTGGAAAACAGGTCTGGCCACTTGGGAGAAATACAAGAATGTAAGAGAATGCAGGGGTGCAACAAGGAAAGCTAAGGCCCACATGGAGCTAAAGCTGGCAAGGAGGATCAAGGACAACAAGAAAAGTTTATTCCAGTACATCAATAAAAAAAAGGAAGAACAAGGGCAATGTAGGCCTGCTGACTATTGAGGCTGGTGCCCTTGTGACTGATGATACAGGGAAGGCAGTTATTGAGGAGAATGCCTTCTTTGCTTCAATCTTCACTGAAACTTATTCTGTGATTCCTCTTCTGTATGCCTGGCAATGGCTACTGCAGAACTGGGAACAAAGTCAGGTCTTTGTGCAGTGCCTCTGTTTCTGAATTAAAACTTATTAAGTGAATTAAACACTCACCTGTTAGTAAAAACAAGGGTTGCACTTCCAAACACATGCTCAACTGCATCTTTGAATACAACTCCAGTTCTGCCGTTGGCAGTAATAGTGCAGCCTCATTTTCCATGCAGCTAGATGTAATGTTTTCCCACTCCACATTCCTCACTCCCACAGCTGTAAGGCTCATTATATTAACAAGTTTGATAGAACTGAATAAAGTATGAGACACTGAGTGGTATTGAGTTTCTAGGCTGACAGTTGGAAAGAGCATTGTGTTATTAAGGCATAAAAAGACCATGCTTTTTAGGGAATTCACTTTTATTTGCAATAGGTTCACATTAGTTTTCCACTGTACCATCCTAAGGAGATTAGAATTTATTATTAGGGGCTTTTGGCTATGGATAATACATAACTACGTGATGACAGATTGATATATTAAGGTGGTATTTGTTACCTGGTAGGGGGAACAAGAAATTATTCTGCTTTGTAGAGGCTTCCCAGAAGATCTTAGTCAGGTAAACCTCCCACTGAAATCAGATAAGGAATTAAAACACAACACCTGCTGAGAATTGGATGAATACCTCATTATTTACTGGCTTGAAAGAACTGAGAACATAGCAGTGTTGTTCAGTACAGTGATAACGACAGTTCTGACCCTTTTGTAGGTGAAACCCCAGAAGATAAGACACAGATTAATAAAGCACAGTAAGAAAACCTAAATAAAGAAATTAACTCTTATTTTGGCCAGTTTCTCTGCTGGCGTAATGCAGCATAGTCGCTTCCTACCAAAGGCAACTTATCTGTGCTTGTAAGTAACTGAGTATCCTTTCCACTAGTTGGGGATGACAAGTTAATAGTGTGGCCTTCATATGACCAAAAAAAAAAAAAAAAAAAAAAAAGAATAAATAAGCTACATTCAAATGTTTTGAAGAAGATGAGGACACAAATCTAGATATAAGAGGGAATTTTGGGGAACATCTTTATGGCCAACAACACTGTAATAGATAATGAGTGAGTGACAGAACCATCCATATAAGACACAGATTCCATGCTGAGATTTAGGCTGAGGTGGAGATGAGGACAAGAAGTTTAAGAGCAAGAGTTGATAAAGTGATGTGGTCCACCAAGAATGCTGCTCCCCTAAGTAGCAGAGCTGTGGAAAAGCTGGATGGAAGCAGCACAAGAGGGGCTAGAAAAAAGAAGCAGCAGCCGACACCAGGACTGATGAGGCGGTTGTCCAAATGAATTGAAAGGATGGAGAAGTGTTTCATTACATTTTGGACATTTTAGAAAAAGGAGTAGTATATTATAGACACATAAGGAAAAGGAATTAATCCAAAGTGATGATCCTTAATGAAAGGAAGTGGGGGAAAGAGGTAAAAAGGGTTTAAGAGTGATGTAAGGTAGCAGCTGCCATCACAGGAATCCAAATGGTCCATCAGACCCTCAGAATGGTGGCCTAGGTGTGTGACTAGAAAAGGTCAGGGCACGAATGAGGAGGAAAAGAAGTTTGTTGTTGATAGCAGCCACAGACCTTGCATTTCAGGAAAAAGGACTTAACAACATAGTTTTAGCAAAAGCTACAGACAGTACAATCATCTCTTCTTTCTGTTGAGGTATTTACTCTAACAGATCACTGTAGCAAAAGTAGCACAATGGCTTATGAATACCTAAGGAGATTTTACCAAAATATGATGGATTAAAGATTAATTTAGAGCAAATATTTACCTTTACCTATGAATATTGTTATAAGGAGCTGAATCTTTAGTGCTTCCACTATGTACATGAATGTAAAAGGTATATTTGTTCTTTCTCCCTGTCTAGTTGGATCCTCAGGGACATTATCTTGGTACAAGATTGTTTTCAGATTACTGGCTGGCTGGCTGGAGAGGATTTCTGAAGAAATGCTACCACCATATACAGTGGCCAGCACTGAGAAATTCAGAGACAATTTATAAACTTCTCTGCTTTTATTAGCTTTTGATTGTTGGCAGAATGACTATAAGAAAATTGAAAAAAAAACCCCAAACTGCTATCTCTAAATCATTCTTGGAACTACAGTGAACACACAAAAGTATTTGTCATTGAAGCAGTCTGTTTTCCAAGTCTGACTGCCTTTTGGTGGAGTTCAGTTCACACAGGCAATAGTGCATTGATGATAACTTCTTAATGCAAATGGTGGACAAGCTGACTAGAAGAGGAGCGCTGCTGGGTCTTGTACTCACCAATAAGGAGGGTCTTGTTGAAGCAGTGGTGGTCAATGGCAGCCTTGGCTGCAGTGATCATGAGATGGTGGAGTTCAGGATCCTGTGTGGGAGGAATAGAGTACCTAGCAGGATCAGAACCCTGGACTTCTGCAGGGCCAACTTTGGCCTCCTCAATCAATTGTTAAGGGAAGGCCCATGGGACAGGGTACTAGATAGTAAAGGGGCTCAAGATAGCTGGTCAACATGCAAGGACCACTTCTTGCAAGCACAGGATCAGAGCGTCCCAATGGGTAGGAAATCAAGTAAGGGAGCCAGGAGACCCGCAGGTTAAACAAGGAACTGCTGGGCAAACTCAAGTGGAAAAAGAGAATCTATGGGTCACGGAAGGAGGGGCTGGCCACTTGGGAGCAATATAGGACAGTTGTCAGAAGATGTAAGGAGGCAACTAGGAAACATAAGGCCTCCTTGGAGCTTAACCTTGCAAGTCAGGTTAAGGAC